TACGCACAGGCCAATTATGACCACTAATTGTCTTACAACGAATGATAGGCCGGCTCCTTGGCATATTGTCTGAATTCCATTGCTTCATGCTGCTCCACGAGCTCCAATGCGCAAGAGGAGCAGAATAAACTGACTCGCTAGTGACATGGAGCAAGCCCGCATATCTCCAGCAGCATCCACTAAGTTGTACGCTCATTCTCCGCACATAGCCTATCGTTGAAAACGAGGTTGCCAACATGCTCCAGATAAAGACCTCGACGGCAAGAGTCCTTGCTCGTCGAATTGTGCATTGCCAGAGCCCCCAGTCCACTCAAGTACCCATCAGGTGGCAAAACGTATCCAAGATAATGCAACGCACAAGCTAAGCAGTAACCAGTTGAGGTGTAATAGAGGCCAAAATCAAGTCTGCCACTGTACCATGTCGCATGCAGTTATTGAGTCTGCACAGGCTTGATGTAACCGGAGTTTAGTTGCTCCATTTGGTTTGTAGATAAAAGGTGTTCTGCTGATAAGCGTGTCGCCGACGTTGCAGTAAATGAAGTCGACAATGTATACTGACTGTCTGCATCCTCGAACATGCAAGAGCTACAATCATTCAATTGCAAACGAGCACGTTCCGCCAACATACGTCAATGGATATTCACACTGCTGGAGTCAATGGGGTCGACTCTTGGAGCAAAACCACGTGTCGGCAACTCACCTTCTTGTGTCCACCATATGCAGCTCCAGAATACTGCCTGAATAACGCTATCGCAAGCCTATGGTTGGGATATAGGCATACGCCAAGGGCAACTTCACTGATCACGTGTTCGGCCTGCAGGGTGGTGCATTCTTACGCTCTATCCCATTTTAGGCCCAAATAATAAGACAAAAATTCCCTGACTCTTGTCCTTTACACCAACCAAACAAAATGGGACAACAGCACGTAACATGACATTAATAAGCAAATTCCTAGTACTAACAACTAGATTCTACAGGTGATTTTGGTGATAATAGCTTATGTTTGGAAAACGGCTGAGCTACCGTTGTCCACAACCTGGTTTAGGTGTTAATTGTTCTGCGGGGAGGTAAAATATTAGCTCATTAGACCTGATTCTTCTTAAATCTCGGCGACCGTATTGTGGACGAGGTGCTAAACCTTGATTGAGGCAAGGACAGCGGTGCGCTCGAGCATAGTAAGCATGGTTAGAAACTCCGGTTTTGCATTCGAGATTTAGATTATTCCAGAAAGAAACAGTGCCGCACTTCCTGTGACGGTGCAAGGCATGGAGGGCTTTCAATCACTAAAGCATAAGCACTGAAGACATTTCCTTCTTGCACCTGACTGCTTGCCGCTTAACATCCCGCCTCTGTCAAAGCTGCACCCCGAGATGGGCCTTGAACTGAAGATATGTGATACCCACAGACTGTTCAGCGGTCACACAGCCGTCCCCATCACTGTTGTAGTTAACAGGCAGCAACTAAATTCAGTTATGCCATCACCTACCGACACAGGACTCTTCGAAACAGCTCGAAACTTAGTAATTGGAGGGCATTCACAGGGAGTAGTCATACTAAAGACGACTAACGCAGAAATTAACAACTGGTTAGACCCTGGGTGGTTGACAGTCCACTCATAATATCAGATTGAAGGACATGCACCTTGCGAAGTAGTTTTAAGGGTGGTAAGGTCCTTTCTGGCTTTCTCCCGTACAACGAGCTCCCCAAATCCCGCCCTTGGTCTCAAAATCGATTCACCGCTTCACATGCAAGAGCTGCATGGCACTACAAACAGCGCTCAGCCATAATCCAAACGTACGATCTTTTGTTCGCAGCCAGAGAGGGATACCGTCCAGCTTTGTAAGATTCCTAGAGCCCCGCTACTGCTAAGCATAACGGCCTAGTATGTGAAAATTAGGTTTGTCCAGTCAACATCTAATGAGTGGAGTTTCCATTTTTTTTTAGGGGGGAATGTAAACATACAAGCTACGTAGGGAGGAAAATATTAATTCAACACCAAAACTACAGGTTATGAGATAGGCCTAGGTAGCAGTCATGGACGTTTGCCTATCTGCGGTTCCAGCTTCGTCACGTTTCCGCAGACTCCAGCGCTGACGCAATCAGCGCTGTTGCAACAGAACACTCTATCGCTTTGAGTGCACAACACCAACTTCTGCGTGACCCAACGTAAGCACACGGTACATACATGCTGATCAGATGAAGTAAACAGCGGTTGCCCCGACGAACTCGCGGATGGGCTACAGTAAGAACAGCAGTCCACTAGGACCATCGGAGAGTATCAAGTGCGTTGATGCCAACGCATAGACTGCGCAGAAGCATATTTGTATGCGGGCGAAGGAAAAAGAGCATGTAAAAAGCACAGCCGTACTTTCTGTATCGTAACAGACCCCGAACTCAACCTTCCACAATACATCAGCACTTACTATGCACTTCGCGCTCCTTTGAATCGTTTGAATTACGAGATGACGCATGGCTGCAGGTAATAATTCGGAGCAACCTAACCAAAATGCGTCCATCCCGCTCCACAACCATTTCGTCAACCATGATGCAATCTCAGCAACCCGCTTGCAATTTCTAAGTGTACACTGCAACAGCAACGTACTGACTGTACCGATTAGGAAAAAGCAACTGCACAAAACTTGAGCACCCCCCGCGTGGTTCTCCACTCTGCAGGCGAGCAGGTGCCACTTCCTATTCCAGCTGGTTATAGAGCCATTAACCCACTAGTCACAAATAGCCAAACGCCTCAATGTTTCCCGCAGAGGTGCCCAACTATGGGAATCATTATGTACCATATCGCGACATGTGGGAAACAAAAATGCCAAAAAGCAAAACGGTGAGCAAACAATCTTGCGATCGCTGCATGTAACACCGCTGCAGAATTGCCAGTTTTTGCGTAGACGAGGACGACGCACGTGCTGTAGGCATAATTAGTGGGCCGGTGTCATGGCCTTCAGAAACCCTCTCCCGTTGGCCAATGCGCATTCGCAGGTGAGCTAGGTATTGCTGCATCCACGTTTTACATACCTCCGATGCACCTCAGTGCCTAAGCGGCACTTTTGTTCCTGAGTTAAGCGGATTTCATCGACTAGAAAGTGGTCAGTTATCCGGCATGCTAACGTTCCCACTTGCACTGGAGGGCAAAACAAGCACCACCACCCTGGTGCCAGCCTTTCGAACCAGCGTACGCCCTGTCACAAACGCATAGGAATCACTATGTGACTATGTCTGGTACAGCCACATCGCGTCGATAGCTACCCACAACCAGTCAGTGAACGCAAGCAGCTTAAATAACTAAACTAGGGTGCTGAATTAGGCCTCTCAGCACTTTCCTAAAGAGATAACCACATATGGCATGCATTGCTTTGGGCAACTCACGACGAAAGCTGCTGTGGGATAGCATTTCTCCCTGGGAATTAAAGGCTTAGTAACCCATGCTTTTTCCGTTGGGTAGAGTATGTACGCAATGCGTATGCCGGGGTTGGCACAAATTAGACAAATGCGTTGTTGGGCAGAACCCAAAAGTAAGCGCATTGGCTTGCTAAACCAATTCAGAGGCCTTTTGTGTAGCAAGCACCTACTGTGTCTCCCACTTGTTCCGCACAAATTTGATCGGGGATGTTGCAAAATGATAACTTGAACTCACGAGCTGTCCACACGGGAGCCAGCTCACGCCTACAGTCGCAGTATTGCATTGGAATGTCAAGCATAAAAGCGATTCTCAAGCGATCTGCCACTGCGCAACCCACTCAAGATGCAGCAGTAACTCCCAAACCTACCTTTCCACCTACTCCGCCTAGTCCAGTTGACCTCAATGGTGGTGCCAATGTAACTGTTGCCACACCACCAAAGAGCCGTTGCTCAATTCTTTTGTTTCACTCCCTGCTTCCAACGGCCTTATCAGGCTGTCTGCCATACTGCGCAGCTCTGCAACATGTCAAAATGGGATCAGGTCTTCCTACACTCCTGCTAGTGTCCACGCCCTGCTCTTTCAACGCAGTAACGTTCACTGCGTGTTTGCGCAAATCTCTGCTTACCATCAGGCAGGCAGGTGATACGTGCAAACAGGTGTGTTGTATTCACCGATCCCTGCGGCGGAGGAGCTGCGCATGAGCACAGAGCACAGCTCTGTGCTCACGCACCCATGCAGTGTTTGCCGTGTTCGACTAGCCGACCTAATTATCGCTCTCATACTCAGGATACCAGTGATGCACCCAGTCGTAAACGTGGGGTATTGCAACTCTGAACCTGTCAAATGCTACAATCTCAGCAACGCACAAGCTGCGAACAAAGCTATTGGCCACGCTGACTTGTTACTCCACGCCAACACACAAATGAACTCTCTGATGCAATAGTTGGGAGAAGGTTCCCGCAAACCAGAATTGCGCATGCCAAGACAGGCATGCCGGAAGTTGGGGAACAGGTTAGTTAGACCTGCTAGATATCAAAAACTACGTTTGTACTGCGGCTCTCCGCATGCGAAACGATCTCGTTCGTGGAAAATATCCCAGGCAGTCGGTCCATGTAAATGCTAGGCAGTCCAGGCGTGATTCCAGACGTACTTGCTGGTCGCCCGGGAGGCATGGCCTGTCGGCCTTCCTGCAATCCTTTGCTCTCTGGAAAAGGACCCCGCAACATCCCCAACTGAAAAGAACTGCAGCCAACCAGATGTGACAGCTCGGAACACATTCAACGATACAGCGTGAAGCGTGAGCTAGATAACTAGAAGGTGCACCAATCTGGCTCAGGTTGAAGTGTCTTTTTTCCCCCACGTTGCACTGATTAAGAAAGCTTGGTTACACTGTAGTGTCAAGTGTGATCTTCTACAGAAACATACGACATTTGAGCGACGTACCCGCTGCGCAATAAGTGGCAGGACCCCCAAGATGGTGGGACACTTCCTCTTGGAAAGGATCAACAACCTGTTGCTCCGCAGCAAGTGTAATGCAGGCCTGTTTGTCGAAAATATTCTTCCCATTCACTGCCGTTCATTGCCGTCCTTATACACAATCCGTCTCTGTGCCTAGCAAAAAGTGCATTGCCAGCTGGCGAGCAGTAAGAAACCCATCCCCACCGAATTTTCCTGGTTCCGCCTCAAAACAGCAGTATTGACCATCAGCTGGAAATGCAGTGCAAAGCCAACGACCACCAAACAGAATATGGTGTTATGGTGTGTTGGGAGATGATGGCCTGTATCATCTCACAACAATCGCCATGCTCTGGCTTGGGCACCCTCACTTACCGCCACTTCTGATATTTGCTCTTTTCCGTCATTTTCCGGCTCCGTAACTGTGTTGATAGGGGACGACGGAGGAGGAATAGGTTCAGGGCTCCCTGGTCTATCCACCTCATCTTCGTCAATCGCATCATTGGAGGCCTCTTCCTCAACAGAAGAAATTCCAGGATCCTCAGGAGGTGGCGAATTAGGATCGTTTGCTTCAGCACTTTCGTCCATGGCCTGTCGCATTCAACACATTTCAGACACATATGCTCTTGCCGTCATACCATCCCAAGGAGTGTATCTCACAACAAACCATTCTCGTATTCGGCTAGAAATTCTTGGATTATACTGCATACGGCATCAACCGTACTCATGTCCAAACAAACCCAAAGAAATGCTCTACTGTTAATTCTGTTATTAGCAGCTGCTCATCAAGCGCAATCTTTGCACAAGGAACCTCGTGGCAGCCACTACCTCCTAAGCTCCACGACTGACTCAACGCTGTAGATGCCGCTACATTTATTTTCACGAAGCTCTTAACTCGTTTTCGCCCCTTGAACAACAGGAGGTACGAAAGCTAGGATTCATCTACACGATAGATCCCACTCTGCAGCACTGGCAAACATGCTTAGTAACCTGCCAAAATATCGGTCATATGTATCACGCATTCCTGTCAAGCTGTAGGCTCCACTTCGCATCCAATAGGGCATGCCAGAATCCATAGGGCCAATGCATCACCGAGATATGGAGCAATCCTAGCCCTTTTGTAGTATGCTTCGGTGGAACCGTATACAAATCGTGCAGCTACGCTCAACTGCTGCCACATAACCCTGGCATGAAATGGAGCTCTACGTGGATGCTGACTAACTTCATCGAGAAAGTACGAGAGTGCGTAATGCACAACACAACGAGTTGGCCATCTATATATCTCCATCGAGAAGGTACTAGAGTGCACTATACTTTCCACGCCAGACGGAGCCATCTATAATCCCCCATGGAATTCACATGCTGCAAGCGTCGTGTAATGGCGGCACCGGTTGTGATAAAAGCACTGGGACGCTTACGTTGATGGGAGGTTTTTTCGCAAACCTCCTTAGAGCAGTGGCTAGAACTAATGAGGCGATGACCGCACAACAAAGAAGACGGGCGGCGCGGTGTTGTTTGCCCGGCCGGTTGATTGGTTGCTTTAGCTCCAGGGGGTCCGCATGATCCTGAAGGGGCACCCACTGTCCCAACACCTCTTCGTGAGCATAAACAACCCTGGCGGGTGAAGTAGAAAAACACGCTAAGGGTCCGATATGGACGAGGAGCAACAAACACCAGCAGGCGCGCCGAAAGGTGGCCGCTTGCTGTAGAGGATCGCCGGCCATTTTCTCCGAAACACCTGATCTTCAATCACTTCCGGAAAAGATTCGGTGTGTTTACAAAAATAACAGAGTGCGTTTACAAAAATAACAGCAATAGGCAGGCAGTGCAAGGCTCAAGTCTTGGTGGTCTCGGGTACCAGCCTCGAGGGTACTGCACAAGCGCTGGGACCAACCCCAGAACACTATAAACACTGAAACGCCAGCAAGAAAGACCCTAGAATACACGCAGCCAGTATCGCAAATAGACAACGAAGCTTTCTTTCTACGCAGAGCTTTTAAATCAACGGGCGGCTGCGGCGGGCCGCGGAGACGATCCGCCAGATTCACAGGACTATGCTACGCCATAAACGGAAAGATTCACGGTAAATTTTACTAATAAAAACAAGAAATCAAATACGAAGCCAGTTGCCCCTATTTTATCTAGGTTTTGGCGATTAGTTGTGTTAAGGGCTAGCAAGACACCGCTGGTCTCCGTGCTACTGGGGCTGAATGGGCGTGTGAGAACGGTAGAAGGAAACACTTGAATGAAAGGCTGGGTTTCTCGTTCTTGAGGAATAACATTTATCTCAAGTATTGTGGTGTTGCGTGTTCTTCTGTTGGGTAGTTAAATCCTGAGTTTATTGGTATGTATGACAGAGTACCCAAAGCAGGGCATTCGGATGCTGCTTGCCGATGGTTGCTGTGGCACGGCGTGTGTGAAATTGGTACTGGGGCCTCTGCTTGCTCTCCCTCTGGTCATGGAAGGCCGCGTAAGACTTTAACAAATACCTACAATGTTTGTGCATGTAGAAAAGGGGAAGTTGGCTGTGTTTCTAAGAAGGGGTGCCATGCAGCATGAGCTGCAGCACGGTCTGTGGAGATTCCTCGACATCAAACAAGAACACTTATCTTAAGTACCTTTGGCTCACAATGAGCTTCAAGAGACTGCAAATACTTGCGTGCTCTCCAAATGTAACATGCGTCCCCTTGATCCCTTAGGCAGAGGGGCCGTAGGCCCTTTAATTTGAGTGGAGAGGGGGCCATGGCGGTAGGTGTCGTTCTTAGCAGAGAGAAGTCGCAAGCTTCAGCACACTCGGTAAATTCTTTAGGAAGACAGTTCTTAAAAAGCGGATGGCTGGCTGGCCTCCTTCAGCTCCAATGCCCTAATGTCACATGGCCAGGAGCAGGCGCGACGACGAGCCGGTGCTGACGGTGCTGCAACACGTGAGCTGCGTTGCAGTGACTAATCCTGCAAGGCAACCAAGCATGAAGTAACATTCAACCTCCAACCTTTATTGGGTAGATGAAACAACCTTGGTGAAAACTTCACCACAATTACTTGTACCACAATTACTTTGCCCCTCATAGCAAGCCACCGCAAGGCCAGGCCAGGGCACCGTACAAGCAGAACTTCGTGCATATTTTTGCAAATCTGTCCTCCCCACTGACCCCTGAGCAACACATTTCCTCGTGTGTGTAGTCTCCCATAACTTCGGGATACCGCAAACAGGTGCTGCTGCTGCTATCACTCAGAGCGGCAATCCGCGCAATCCGCGGCAATCCAGATGCGTGGCCTCTTGGTTTTTGTTGGTGTCCGCTTTTTGATGTGCACATACCAAATTGTTTAAATATGTACTGGCCTTCTGCCATCTTTCAACAACCGTGAACGCGTGGGCAAGTCCCATAAACCAACGCAGTCTCGGTACACGACAGAATAGGGGAGGTGTTACCGCTGTGACACTGATATAGTGCAGGTGAAGGCAGGGGCGGTTACGCACTGAAATCGGGTAACGCACAAGGGCATGCATATGGAAAGATATGAGCGTGTCATTGCATCTGACAGGGCAACAGTCAATGAATAGTTAAACGCGTTGATTTTGAATGCGCTTTCACTTGCCAGTGACGCCGAGGAGGACATGTAGATGCTCCTGAGCAATGGCTTCGGAGAAGGGATTATCAGATATCCTTTCTGCTTGCCGCTATTCCGGCCATTTAGCTTGATGTTTTCGTTTTGTGTGGCAGACGAGAGTTGCTGACCCCGGGTCTGTCATCTCGGTATTCTCTAGTGATGTTTCTGTCTCTGCGTGAACTGGGTTGGGGAAAACATGGTGGTTCCGTGAATATCTGAGAAACCTACAGTTTACGGAGTGTTTACGAAGTGTGGAGTGAAGCACAAGATTGGTTTGTACTGTGTGGCCTTCTACTGCCCGTTTTGTTAACTGTCTTTATTCCCTGTTACGTTACATTCTATGCCTAGCTTATTCGTGGCTTTGCGCCAAAAGTCTCCAATACATATCACACTTCATGATTGTGTTAGCAATGATGCCATACCGAAAATCACCGAGCCTGCAGATGTGCCTCGTGAACAGTTCGGCCACGACCTTCGCCGTAGATGAACAACCCATTAAGTAGGCATATTCGGTCAAGTTTATCAGCGGCAGCTTATATTGCATCTCCTGGAACCTGGTGAACCCGCAATGATACTGATTATGATATCCGTCTAGACCCGTTCGGGAACCGGAATGTGCTAAAGAAGTCTTGCGTTGGGACTGTTTTGTAGTTTTTGTTTCTTATATTCTGGACACGTAACGAGATATACGTGCACTGACAGGAGTGCCCACAGCCAGCAAAGGGACCTGGACACTAGGTGCGCTGCTGGGTGGGCTCCACCATGGACAACAAAACCCGACGGTGCGTTTTGCATGTGACTCTGCAAAGCGACCTGGAGAGTTTAGTCTGTTGAGCGGCCCCGTGCTCGCCTGGTACTGCAGGTGATTATCATTGATGTCGTTCTTCACAAGGGGCCCACTACTCACCTGATTATCACTGGAGTAAAGAGGAAACAATTTAGAAACTGTAGGGGATTCATCGCAAGCGAGTGCCTTGTATGGCAGCTGTTACTGATTTACACAGTTATCCAGTTTCTGGTATATACATTCATTAGAAATGATCTTCCTGCAGGCCTAGAGGAGGATAAACTTTTCCTGTGCCCTAGAGCAGCAACGAGACGGTTCCTCTAAACTGTGGCCCGTTACCAGTTCAGCGACGACCCTATGGGGCAACGGCACCAGGTACTACCGTTGCAAGCTGCAGGCGTTTAATCTATCCTGATGCAAGAACTCCTATTTGGACGGTGCTCTGCCCCGTGCTTCCCCTTCCCTGCTGGGCTAATTACTGCTGTTAGGATATGCGGGTTCCTCACGTAAACCTCTGGAATCCGTACACAAAACACTGGAAATATAACTGCGTTGATTAGGTACGCCTACGTCACCCAGCCTTCATAAACTCCCAGCAAAAGCTGGAAAGGCGTGACAAAATGGCCAGCTAAAAGCAATTCTGGAAATACGGCGGCCATTGCTATCTGCTACCATTGAGCTGTTTGGCGAATGAAATGGCAGACAGCAAAACACTGGCAAATAAACACATTTACGAGCCTTAAACGCACAGGTAGATAAGATCTCGCCCCCTTGGTTACATGCCTTGAGGCTTATATTTTCCAACATTGGCTTCCACTCTGGTCGCAATAGCCAAAGTTCAACAAAACCGCCAGTCCCTCTCTTGAGATGATTATCAAAGAAAAGCACCAGTCTAATCCTACCGAAGTATAACAAATGCAGCGATATGAGTGGATATCCAATCTTCCGGGAGCTTTGCTCCTTGACAACGGATGTTATAGAAGGGGCATTGGGTTGAAACGGCAGCTTGTCTCCAGCCATGCGGCTTATCAAGCTCGGTGCAGGCCTCGTTGCATAGAGCCCGTACTGGCGCTTTCTTCAGGTTTACTCAGTTTTCAGGAATTCAATAATGTTCGCCAAGAGCATATGGTCACTCCTCATGTCGTAGACATGCACACCTTTGAGGATGGAGGCGAAAGTTGGAGGCAGTACACCTGTTGAGCTCCCCGTTTCGAACATCCTATCCAGGGTTTCTGTGCTAGATGAAGCTAGGCGTACAACTACTCTGTCTAGATACCCAACGCCTCGCGGAGAAGAGAAAACTTTTGGAGCAAGACATCTTTTCAGCACACTGAAAGGCGAATGGCCCTGCACAAGTGTCATCATACAACAACCGCCCTCACGCGAATTCAAGTTCTCTTAGTCAAATGTTCACAGAACGCCCTAAGGCAGAGGGGTGGGGGGAATCAAAATACGGCATGAGACACAATTTCGACAAGGCAGGGACTGCTTACCAAGACAGGCGACTCCGCTGGATATTGACACCCTCGGCTCCACTTGTACGTGTAACCAGCTCCGTAGCATGCACTGATAAGTCTGAACCCCAGTTGCCTAAGAGACGCTGGAAGCATTTTGCCACTACCGGCCACATTGACAGTCCTACCCAGCCTGTCAACAGACCATAGGAGGGGCTCATATCTGCTCTCAATGATCTCCAGCGGTTCAGCCAGAGCCTCCGTCAGCAACCTCGTCATCTTGATATTATCCGCTGCGCAGGAACGTAACAAAGATGTAGAAAGACGAAGGAATAGTGGAAACATGCTACTTTACCTCTAATGGGACCTGGTTCTACCAGTGCTAGTGCTACCACCGTACGTTCTTGAGAGGAAGCCGCCTGAACTCTCGCAAAGGCAGGATACTGTGCTATGTCGTAGGTCTTGTAAAGGTGCGACAAGGCCTCGGCGTGTAAATGCTCGTTGAAGTCGGCTCCAAAAACAACCCCCAGAGAGAAGGAGTCAAGCCCTGGATGAAGACACAGTGATGGCCGGAACAATTAAGTAGTTGTAGAGCTGAGATTGTTCTCTAAATACAAACGCAGCTCTACTGAATATTTGTTTTGTGTGATCCCACATGAGTAATCGCTAGTGGCATTCTCTGCAGTCTACTTGCAAAAGCTGCATTCATGCCCTTTTCGAAAGAGGACGATATTGTGTGGTGCCCTTAGGGGTGCTATAAGGGAACGTGAAGGCCCCAGCGTGAGAGGTCGTGCTTAGACAACTTGGTAATCTTACCTAGTTGCGTGCTCCCACAATACTTAAGAAGTTCTGGAAATACGTTCCTAAATTGTTTTGCGTCCCACCCCTTCAGGTGAGCACCCACAATGGCGAGCTTACCCATATTGGGAAATTCAAACACGGCGCCAACAAAACCCTTTTCCCCCCCGTGAATAGATTGTTCCGCATTGCACACTTTAATAGGCTGGTGCGTTTCGCGCATAATATGGATGAGAGTTTGCGTATTTGGACTCAGAAGAGTCTTTGCTTGCGTTCCTCTGATGTTCCCAAGATAGGTGATCGACGCTGGACCCCAATTTGGGACGGTGCTAAGGAGGTTCAGCACGAACTGGATATTTTCTAGGAGCTGCTTTTCCCTGCGGGAGTCTAATTTCATGTTTTCTTGGAGCACAATTGTCACAGCATCCACTTCGTCTGGCTTGAAGCCCTTTTCTTCATCGAGAAAAGGGGCAAGGACCTGAAAAGTATTTGGCTTGATCATGAGCGCATTCCTGAAGCAAACCAATCAAGAGAGAGCCATATGGACAAACGCTATGGGCTTCTAATGGCAGAAAGGAGGAGCTCCCAAGGTAACAGGATCCAAAACATCCTCGCCGTACCTACCATTGTATGAAGGCTACGCGTAGGGTCTTGTGCGGTCTACTTTTGATATCTTCCCGGACTTTGCTCATGAGTTCCGCGTGTTCAGTAACAAACATGTTGTATTCTCTGATAGTGTCCTCTACAGAACCGAAGCAAGGAGGCTCATTGAGCTTCATCCGACGAATGACCTCTTCTGGGCTGTACACGCGCGCCATTGGATTCGCTCCGCAGCCTTGCACAGGGACTGCATCTACGGGTCCCATGCCAAACCTACGTTGACTTGAAGCGGCGTCCAGCAAGGAGGCCTTCGTTGGTTTGTTCTTTAAAAAATTCTCGACTAAAAACACAGGACAAGAAAGCTCTCATGAGCAGCTAATTAAGTGCGAAAATTTGGTGCAGTGTTCCCATGTTGTAGCAAACAAAAAACAGCCACCTACTGTCAACCTTCAGTTCTACGGCAACGCTGAAAATGGTTTTAAATGCCTGAATGCCTTCGAATGGTTTCAAATGTTTAGCAGTGGCTAAGAGTGAGGACATCGAGCAGCTATATCTGCTTCGGATATTTACCCTCCGGTCCTGTGTCCTCGAGCAAAACTTTCTTCTCAGGTCGCTGCACAAATAGCCGCACCACAGAAGAAAAGCAATTGACAAAGAAACAGCAAGGATTCGTGAGTGGGAGCTTAAAAGACAACCTTCGAAGGGTTAGCCTTCGGCGCGTCGTTCTAAGAAGGAGCTCTCGACACTCTCGCCGTCGGCGCAGCTGGAGGTGACTCTGAGCTGATGTCACCGCCTCTACACTGTCATCCATATCTCACTTCTGCAGAACCGCAGCAAGAGACGCAACTACAAGGCAATTCTATCCGACTGGAGTTCTGCTGCTCTGTGTTGTTGACTACAACGGACATACAGGAGTGAACCGGCGACTGCACTGCTGATGATTAGACGGAGCTGGGATCCATAAAGCACATAGCTGTCCACGTGAAAATAATGCTAAGGAAGTCTGGATTCTTACCTTCGGCCTTCGGGTCAATATACACACTGCAGCGCAAACGCCAAGAACAACAAAAATCGTTTGATACACGTAGGTGGATGCTGCCTGGGTCTTCGGGGCTCGATATGAATGCGGATGAATCAAACGGCTGTTACTGGCATTGTTACACAGATATAGCTTACTCCTGAGGAAGCGAGAATGACCTTTTTAGCCGAGGAGACGGCGCATCATCGGAAGCGTCGAGTACATTCAAGCTGGAGGCACGCCGTAGCCTACTGGCGCGGTCTCCCCTTGGAGCATAAAGTTTGTTCGCATTTGAATTGCAAGCTCTCAGGTATAAGACAAGAAAAAAACACAATAAGTGTTTTTTCATTCCTGATAGGCTACGCCAACCACCGGCAGTCATGGTTGGTCACAGAGCGGGCGAAGAGCGTATGTCTGTCTTGCACTCAACAGCATGAAACACGTTCTATCCTTGGTCAAATCCAAACTATAAATAAATATATAAGTAGGAAAACTCGGTCTTGGGAATGGACAAATGCGCGAGAAGACCGCCACTTGACTCTCAGTTGCAGCCCAGACCGCTGCACGCGCTGTCACCGCTAAGATAGTTTTAGTTGCTCCTGTTTGGTCGGTTGAATGTTGCAGAGCTCCGTTTTACTCCTATATGATAGGCTAAAGTATTGTTGATTTCAAAGTAACTCGCATTTCAACAACAGCTTATCCCCCTGCTGCCGACGACCGCAGGTCCACCCGTACAACAGCGCCTCGCAGCCCCATCGGCGGCAGAGACACTCGGGAAGCTGTTGGCTCGAACCGTGGCCAATTGTTTTGAATTAAATTGAAATAAAGACTTAAACTTTGTTGATATTTCTTTCACTGTCTTGAGATAGTTGAGAGCAAAAGTCCATTCAGATCCGCTGGCTCCGCACCGCTCGCTCATCTAGCCGAGTGGAATTTACGTTAGTCTTGAACATGAATAGGCAAGAAAATTCACCACACATCAGTGAATCTGAAAGTACGGAGCAATGAGATTCTAAGCCATACATCTGTGAGCAGACATTTTTTCTTTGATGAAAACGCGTGCTCCATTGCCCCGTGATGTGAACGCATGTCTTCGCGATAAGAACTAGCAAATGGATTGCCCATAGAGTGCCATCAACTACCAAGGAATAAATGCATGTAAGTTTTGTATCCGCATAACTGTATACGACTTCAACTGCCAACTCTACGTTCTCAGAGTGCCGCACCTAGGATTTATGAGATGTATGCGCATTTGTCTATGCATATATGCATCCTATGCCTATGCGCCACCAAACAAAACATTAGAAGAGCCTCAAAATGTGACGAAACATCAGAATTACTAAAAACGAAGGTGTTCATATTTAAACAACCCGTTCTCCCTCGGCTGTCAGCGAGCAATGCCCCTATCCGCTGCTCTCCAAAAGCGCGTTAGACGCGTTCGTTTTGACCTCAAAGGCATACACAGAAGAAGCAACACAGCGCTTGCCTTACACACCTCGTGGGTGCCAAAAACAGCGCTGAGGACTGTGCCAAACGAGCCCTGCAGGCACAAGCCAAGGGATGCTGGGGCCCGCAGCAACAACAGCTACTGCTCCTGCTGTGGCTCCTGCTGCTGCGGATTTCGCAGTTGTACTAAACGCCGCAACATTTTTTCAGCTTTTTCCCGGAGCCGCAAGGACATTTCTTGTTGGCGTCTCGGGACCTCAGCTCTACAGGAGGCCGATAAGCGACAACTCTCCCGTCATCTTCAGCTGCAACACCTGTAGAGCCAACCATCACCAGCAGCAACGGAGACAAGGACCTAGCAAAAAAGCGTTAGGCTGAATGCGCAGATCCCTATATTTTCACTCCGCCAAGAGCGTCCTTTCAGTTTGTGGGCGGCAGTAACAACGAAAACTGAAGAGTGTTCTAACGCAAATTACTGTCATGAAACCAGAGGACAGCACCTCACTCCTCCAATTTAAAGGTGACCTGGAGCAAATTTCTTTACGTGTGGGGCTGAGAACACCAAGACTAGCTGCTATGGTATTGCACGCGTTCTCTGTGTATCGGTGTTAGGGCTTTGCTTTGTCTTATTGTGCGAAAGAAGAAATTAGGTTTCCCAGTGTTTGCTCATCATCTACATCTAGGGTTTGTGCTTCGAACCTGCGTTACGGAGTTCTTGGTCAATGCGCCCGAGGCGGAGGTCCCCTAAAAGGTAGTGGGCGCCTCTGTTGAAAACGGAATAGGCACTGGCACCACCGCTGCGCTCCCCCAAATTGCGAAATATCAAAATAATGCCTAAGATGGAGGCAAAGCTGCACACGAACCAGGCAAGCAGCAAGCGCATCCGCGGAAATGTGAAAGAACAGAGCAGCTGCCAAAGTACAATAAGCGATACGAACGTGTTCTAATAGCTAAACTAATTGCGGTTAGAACTTGTAACTGTAATGGCGAACCTAACGTCACGATCAGGTTCACGCCCCGAAGCCTGTCCCCGCCCTATACTGATTATATGGAGAAAATGTGTGGAAAACGCAGGAACAAATAGTATGACATCAACATTTCATTGAGATATATCGAGTGCAACAAGGCAGAGCATCGACCTGCTGCCCAACTAGAGCAGACTGATGTTAAGAAAGCAGCGATCACTAGGGACGGGGAGATGACGGGCACACACAAAGCACGCAGCACCAGAAAAAACTAAAAATCCACAACAGCAGCAGCATGACCAGATACATGAGCAAATGGGGAACGAAACATCTGCGAAGAATACTACAAGTCCTCACACTGCCCCGAAATAGCGGAGACACAGAAGCACTCCTACAACCAGAGCCGCCCTTGCAAGGTTCGCGCCTACAAATACGCAAAAAAAAAGTGGAGAGTAAGAAGTGGGAAGCTGGTGCCTCAACATCTTAGCTGGTAGCCGAGACACCACAAACACCAACCCATGGCATTTTGGGTTACACTTGATCGTCAATACAATCGCTGCATTTTGCACAAAAATGTTCCTGCATGAAAAATACATGAAAAGGCCACCTCAGTTAATAGTAGCACATGGAGCTGCGGAGGAGCTGCACCGTCGGTAGCATGCTTCACCAGCCTGCTTCTCACGCGTGTGGTCTCAGTATTCCAATTCTAATCTGTTCTACGCTGTATTTTGCACATGCATATTTCATAGAAAGGCTTACGCGTTAATTTTCCCCTCCAGAAACTCCCAGTCAAGACCTGTGCGAGAAACTGCGTGAGGCCGCGGGTATCTTCCTCCATGGTGCTCTTCTTCCAACTCGAGGCTACTGCATTTGGAGCAGGGAATCTAAAACGAGAGTGTCTTGCTGGAAACAAAAGAGCAGCAATTTGATGCGTTCTTGACCTACGTGGACTGGGCGGTGGCGAATAGCAAGAAAACCAAACAAGACGATCGTTGATTAGACGCTGGTTTCAGCGAAGACTACAAGTTCCGATTTAATACGCTTTTCAAAATCAGCATAAAGAGGTCTACTTCACAGTCCCAGTAATGCTCTTGGGTTTGATGTGGCAAAGGCGATCGTGAACCGTTCAGTAACCACAGTCGTTGCCTGCAATTAGATTCACCGAAGCCAAGTTAAAACTCAATTATCCCGTTTCGGTTTACAAAAAAAATCACAAATGTACTTTCCCCACGTGAGATTTCTTCCGTATCGGCCTGACAGAATAGGCGGCAGCCGACGCTGCATGCGGGTGGTTTGGGACGGAAGAAGAATTCAAGACACAACTGACATTCATTCGTTCATATATTAAATAAATTACCTGAACAAACGACAAATGTTATCATTCTACTCATCACCGAGCCGTTTTGTGATTAGGCACCCGCTTGCTAATACCCTCCTACCTAGCCCCCGAGAGTGTGAGAGCCTTCCTCTTTATCCAAGGGGTGTTGTCAGCCTCAATAGAGTCAAACTTCTCTAGATAGCAGTGTTCACGTATCAGATGATCATTCTGTTCCCAGCCATCCCTTGTCAAGTGGCTATAAGGCCAGGGGTTCGTGCTCAGCTGGTAAGTACACTCCTACTTGCGTGGGGGCTGGTTGTTGAGTGCCAAATGAGTGTCTAGCAAATATTAACAGTGTGAGTGCATGCAGAAAGAGGCTATTGGCCGTGCTTGCATGCTGGGTTTCTTTTTTAGCACCAGTTGCACCTAGGTGTACTGCAGCCCGCGATTTGAAGTTTCCTCTCCTCATAGGCCCAAAGCCCTTGGCTCGCTGAGCCTAAAACTCATGAATGGTGAATAGATGCCAGCTGCAAATTGTAAACTATAAAATATGTAACCATACCTCCGCAACGCCCTTATGACGAGGTCCAGGACTCTCGCCTTCGAAACATTCCCTGCGGCGATGGAGACACGGAATTCATACAGTGTATCGGTAGTTTGCACGCAGAAAATGAATTTTAGTACATAAGGACAACAAACACGAGCGTGCATGCAGGAATTTGAAGACATTTCGTAGAAGAGATACGCTGTGTTGGCCGATTGTGGCCGCACTTCACACGCATAATGTGCTCAAAAATTTATAACCCCTTCAACAGAGTAAAGCTGCGCAATAGCTCATAGCATGCGCTACTAAACGTGCAAAATTCTGTGCGTTTTCCCACGTTGAAAAACCATATGAGGATCCTCATGCAGTGTCGAGGCCATTAATTTGCGTGAATGTAGTGTTACCCGTTGCAGTCATACTTTTTGCCGTAGTGCAGTGGAAGGAATTTTGCAATTGTGTAGCATATTCTTCCTCTGTAAATATTATGATTGTCAGTGTGGCTGCTATGACTCAGTCTGCGCATGCTGCACGATGGATTCAACACGTCTTACCCCGCATTATGAAGAGGGTGTGCACTGTACGTTTCGTAATATTGAAGCTCGTGATGGGCAGGAGAATATTTTATGAGCGCTTTGGCTTCACCTTTTAATTATTGTTGTTGGTCTAAGACACATAGTACGGGGTGGAGGCGCCTTTATTGGCAATACTATTATTGATAGGCTTCGAGTGAACATTCTTATGAATGCCTGCGTGTCCTGAGCAGTAGGTCAGTAAACTCCGTACCTCAGCCAGTGGCAGATTTAACTGAATGTGGCGTAGCTGTGTATCTGGTGTCGCTAGTATACATGCAATACATCGTGATGAACCCGATTACGAAGGGTCCCTCCAACGTTGGTGGACAGAAACTAGCACTAGAGCAGTGGTGAAGGCGGAAGAGGAGAACAGTCCCCCAGTGCGTACTTACGGTCTAAAAGCGGATGGGCACTCGCAGTCAAGTGCATCTGGAGGACTGGCCTTACAAAACCATGTCAAGAAAACGGACTCACGCTCGTTCAGGGGAAACTGTGGAATGTTGCGGAAGCAATCGAAAGAAACGAAAGCCGCAAGGTTGCCGCATAGACAACTGGAGGAACCTATGCCCGCAAAACGGAAAGTTTGGTTATGCCGCCGCTTGGGGCTGCAGAGAAGCAGCAGATATATCGGGGCGGCCGTTTCCTTTAGCTTCAAAACAACCCCCTGAGCTTTCCTTCCAGCTCCTGTGCCACAACCATGTAGACCATTTGACCTAAAGTGCATCACCACGCCTGCTTGTACGACTACTTTTCGTAGCCTCTGAAAAATTGAACAAGAGGCGCAGTGTGTCCTAGAAGCCCAGGGATTTCACCTCCGGGCTTGCTGCTGCTGCAGCACACCAGTACCTGCTGCTGTCTAGGAAACGCATATGCTGGCCGCCACTGCTCATGAAGAAAGGCATTGCCTCAACATGCATGCACACATGCGGCAGCCAGTTAATATTCGGTGCTTTTCGCTGAACTAGAGAAGCATTCAGACAAACCATATGAACTTTCCCGTCAGTAAAGCGAGAAAGCTCCAACGTGCTCCTTTCGCTGTTGATCAAGTAGAGAATACAACAAAAATGCATGCAGGAAAGAACCAAAATACGTAAGACAAGACAGCGCTTCGACCCAGAAATGAACAACGAACGCATGCCAAAAGGCAGAGCAGATTCAAGACCAAGTACCAATACCAAGGAGCCCAGAGGCCCCGCAAACCTGACGGACTGCCTGTCTCGCTACACATTTTTGTGTATTGTCTGCAACATCCGTGTCCGCTTTCACTTGGATGTTTTCGCAGCTGTTCATATCTGTGCCCCTCTGTGCGTTTAGGGATTGGTCTGCATGCACCTTTCCACCTGTGTACATATTTCGCTCTGTTCCCGCTTGGGAATTTCAATGTTTTGGGCTTTGGTATGCTCTTTAGTGCAACAGCTGTCTACAGCAGCGACAGGCCCAGAGAAAGGGATCCACAGGGTCTTACGTCTGCATGGTGTGTCTGCGGAGCTGCAACAGCAGTGGATATAATGCGCGCTTGAGCCCATTTTTTTGTTTTTTCAATGCGCAGCTTCACGTCGCTGGTGTCTTCTTCCTGTTGAATGTTTTCAATCCCTTTTAAACAGCGTTCGACCCCCCATCCTCCAGCAACAAAAGCTAAGTGCTTGTCTACGGGTTGTCTCAATCCTCCGTCATCCAGCCGCCCCTCGAACTCCGACAGAAATTCAGCAAAGAGCAGCACGGGGAATGATTCCTCTGTTCCTTCATCCGCCCCATATAGTTCAACACTCTCTAGGCTTGCCCTTTCCCCCAATTCCTCTTCCGCTTCATCTAAGCTGTTCATATACATGCCCAGTGGCATCCTAAGAATACTGTATACTCGAGCATCCGACGCGCGCCGCATGCGCATTGCTAACACCAACCCCACCAGCTGCTCCCCTAACTCCCGCGGCACAAGCCGGCCTACAGAACCTCTCCCACCCAGGGCTCCCCCGGCGAATGCTAGATCGATCTTGCGTCCTGATCTTTCATTGAGTGTCTTTAGAAACTCGGAAAATGTCATGCCGCTGCTCGCAACGCCCTCCTCCTGCTGCTCTTGATCCAGCAGCAGCGGTTGCTGCTTCCGCTGCAGCAAAGCCGAACCGATACCTCGTTCATCACACAAAGCCTCGAGTTTATTCAAATATGAAAGACGCTCGGAGGCAGCGCGAATCAAGGATGTCGCCAGAAGAAGCTGGAAGGAACACCTCTGCAACTCTACAAATGTGGGTTCCTGCCCCCCATGCCCCTCAGGCATCGATTGCTCGTCTTGCTTATGCTGCAGCAACTCGTGCAACTTTTGTGCTGCAATCACTTGTTGCTGAAACAACCCAAAAGGACCCATCTCTACAGCATTCTCCCCCAATTTGGGCATAAAATTTCTTTCAAATGCGCTGCGAACCGCATCAGACGCTCCAGTCCATTCCTCCCATAATGCTGCTTCCGCTTCATCTAACTCCTCTCGGAGTTGTTGTAACTCTTCTGGATCCACTGGTAAGGTATTCCCTTCAGGAGACCCTCTGTGTATCTCAAGACGCGACAGGCGGCAGCCAAAGGCAACAAAGACAACCAATATAACTGCTGCTGCTATAGCTCGTAACATCCGCTGCGAGTCGCGGGACCCTTTCCGGCTACGCAGCGACCGAAGTGCCTCATCACCAAGCAACCATGGATACTCTTCTGCTGCTGATTCTCTTGCTGCATGCCAGGTGTCGGTACCGACGGGAGGCAGTTGCAGATAGGCAGCGCCACCTTCGATGGTGCCCGCGGAGGGTCTCTGCCGGAGAAGGACTGCTGCAGCAGCAACCCCCCCGTAACTCATCTCCTTAGAGGCTAACACCGAAAAAAATTAGTGTCTTGTCATGCAAACCGCTGACGCCTCTTGATCCCGATCCCAACTGTCACGTGTTCTACGCGCTGAGGGGAGCCGGCAGCACGCGGCGGCAAGGCTGCAGATCCAATGGTTGCAAAGGTAATTGCACGCTTACGCAAGACCATAATATACCTTTCATTCATTAAAATATACTTAATATCACCGGAGAGCGACAGGCACGGACCAACCAGCCCCGCTCAATGCCCCGCTCACGGAGCGTGCCAGGCACAGACGAGTGTCCGCCACCGTCGGCCTTGAGAATGGCAAATTTGGAGGGAACAAGGGTCAAAAATTTTTAAATTAAATTAATAAAAGCATTTATTAATAAACTTTCCTTCAAAATAGAAAATAATAATGTTTTAATAGACAGAAATCCCCAAGTGCCGATCGCTCGCACCCTCACCGCTCCACCACAGAACATCAACGGGGCAGGTTCAGCCGTCCAGTTGGCGCATGCAGAAAGCTGCAACAAAAAGAAACAAAAGTGTGCATTTATTAGAGAACAGTAGCAAATAGTTTGCAGAGCAACTGAAAAAGTGCAACTCCTGTAGGCGCTGGCAAAATACAAAAAAAAAAATATCTGCAACGAGCCCGCGATCACTATAATGTTCTATCGCTAGTTGCAAAGAGATGAACGAATCCTCGAGGTAAAAGTTGAATAAAGTGAATAAACCTTCATCCTTGTGTACAAGCACTGTGGTTACAGTGGCTTAATCTCCTGTGTTCAGCATTTTCTATGTAGTGGGCACAGGAGAAGCAGCCTAATCAGGCCGTAAAAAGCAACAGATGAAGGTGTGTGTACATGCACCCAATGAGGCTTATTTGCCCCTGTATGCGTCTAAGGCTTGCATGCACTTATATTTGTATTGGAGGCTCCCTTCTACTTATATATGCAACAAAGCAGCCTCTGCACTCTGGTGCACGCTGCTGTGTTATGTGTTGCGGTGCACCCCTCTACAACTATAATAGACGGCAAGACAGCCCCATTAACAAAAAGGGAAATAACCCCTCTTTGTTGCATGCATAAACACATTTGTCAATTAATTAGGAGTTATTTTTTGCATGCACGTTCCCCTACAAGGACAAATAAACTTTTTTTTATTGGCTATCTTATGAATACTATTCACCTACATAGAAGAGGCTGTGCAACAAAAGGTCGTAAAGTATTCACAGACAGCTAATTAAAGGAAAAAAAAAAGATGAACATAAACAGAGGAGAAAGAGAAGAAATTCTGCTACCTCTTGTAGCATACTCATTGCCGTTAGATATATCTATTTTGCTTCTTAATAGGCAAAAATGTGCCATGATACATCGAGTCTAGGGTTTAGGGTTTAGGGTTTAGGGTTTGAGGAAGGTATAAGAATACGAAAAACCCTCCTATAATTTTTTAGCGTTTCTTCTGCCTCTTCTCTAAATATTTCTGCTTCCTCCTTAAGAATATTCCTAAGACCTTCGGTGTCCTCCATCAGCTCGTGGTACCGCCTATACATAATGTATACACATTCAGATGCATGCATGCATGTATGCATGCATGCATGCATGCAGCAGCAAGGCGTGCATGCGCATGCATACAATGACCCTCTTACTTAGGGGGCCCCAAATGAGCAACACTGGAGAAGGACTAGAGACAA